TCGTTGCCGTCTCGATTGAGTCTTGAACCTGAGCCCCAAAGGGAAACACCAACGACAGCTGCAGAGACGGGAGACTGTGACGATCTGTCATGCTCAACGCCGCCGTTCGCCCGCTGCTGAGCCCCTCACAGAGCCCTGGGCCAGCCCTTGTGGTCCTCAAGTACGGCACCTCGTCCGTGGCTCTGTCTGTCTGCGTCCCGCCAGAAGAAGAGTCTGACGATGTGGCCCTCGACGACGCGGCCCTTCTCTGGCATGGAATCTTTCACCCGCATGTGCTGCCCGTCCACTTCCTGCAGTCCATTGCAGTGGAGGGCAGGCAGCCGGCACACCGGCGGGTGGGCGTGTGTGATCCCGTGCCGGTGTTTGAGCTGAGGACTGGACAGTCGTCAAGGCGGACCCAGATTGTGACGCTTGCAGAGGTGCTGGAGAGCGGCATGGGCGATCGTGGTGAGGATGAGGGCTCATCAGATGAAGCGATGGAGATGTGCGTCGACTGGGCCATCCAGCTGTCCTCGGCCATTATGGGCTGCCACGCTGCAGGTGTCACTCTCGGCGGCCGAATCAGCCCAAGGGACATCTACGTGACACCATGCAGCGACACACAAGCCACTGGGGATGACATTGATGCGTCAAGTGAAGGCACATCGGGCTACATGCGGAGCTACTCGTCCATCGATCAGCCGAATGGCGGTATTGCGGTGAAGGTGGCAGCAAAGGACAGAGATGCCGACGACGCCCTTCCGCCCTCATTTTGGCGCCAATATCCTCTTGGAGGCCAGCATTATATGTTGATTGTGTCGCCCTGTTTCCACTGCCGGCCAATCGACGACTCGGCTGAGTCTTTCGCGGCTGTATTTGCCGACTTGTTGGCCCTTTGCAGCATGGTCCTCCGTGTGCTGTGTTGGTGCTCCCTGCTGCCTTGGGAGATGGAACAAAGCAGCACTCGGCTGGACGAGTTGGGAGACCTGGTAGGGCACCTTCAAGCAAACCTCACTGAGACTGACAACAACACAACAGCACTGGTCCTCGGCGCCATCCATCAACTGCTGGACCGCCTCGCTTCCGCAACTGCCGACACCGAGACACTGGATACATCCCATGGGGCATTCCAAGATGCCCTCTTCTCCATCTATTCATCAGAAACACCCGCACCCCACCCCCTGGAGGCGCTGCTTAACAGCCCACGAATGGTGGCGTGGCTGGAGTCGCGGGGCCTGCTGCACAGGGCGAAAGTGCTCTTGACGCTGTGCAGGGACCGCAGGGGTGTGGCTATCGAAGACAGAGGTGGGCAGGATGACGGTGTCTGCGGATGGGGGTGGGGCCGCATTCAGGGGCTCGTTGACGCGGCATCGGAAGGCGATCCGTCCTTAGGAGAGGCACAAATGCTCAGCTTCTTATTGAGGCGGAGATGTCAAGAGCTATCGTCGCTCCCGGCGGCCTTGAGTCAGCTGCAGCTGTGTGTACCGAGCCTGGAGGTGGCCGTGTTGGGCATATGTCTCCTGTGCATGGAGTTCTGGCTGCCTGAGGCTCTAAACGGAGCTGACATGATGCTCGCAAGGTACCTGTGAAGACTCGAGTTGCACTGCTGGAAGGAATGGCTGGCTGGCTGGGACATGTCCATCTGTAGGTACGGGGCACTGTGGGATCGGCACTCTTTCACTCGATCAGAATACTCGGCCTTCAAGCTGCTATACGAGTGAGAGAGAGACACAGTGTGTTCTGTGTACATTGACGCGGCTGTGTGTCTGTCTCTTTCTCCGTGTCTGTGTTGTCTGTGTGTCAGCATTCGTTCGGTCCTCTACGACTTCATCAGCAATGTCAACCTCTGCCACCTCCTGGCCCCCCACTTCAAGCTCACCCAGTGCACCCCGCCCACCATTCCCCCCTCCCTCCCCATCCCACAACCCGTCGACCGCCGCCTCTCCCTCCTCACCGCAAGACGACGCTCATCCGGCCGCAGACAATCCGTCTTCGATATTGAAGGTAGCGGCAGAAAGAGAGACCCCGGCCCACAATCGGCCCCTCTATTCAACGCCAAGGCTCCCCAGTTCTACAGCCGGGAGGGCGACACTTTTATGGCTGGGATTGGCTATGGCCAGCGGGATGAGGAGCGGGGGAAGGTGGGTTCGCTTCGGTTGCTGCCCCCTGGGTTTGTGCTGATGCATGGGGGGGCGGACGGTGTGGCGGCGTACCATGAGAGGTTCTTCGGTCGGACGGCGCCGAAGCACATATGGGTGAGTGAGGCTTCATTTGTGGTGGGTCATTTGTCTTGTGGGTGTGTTTGTTGTGTGTAAGGGTGCAGCCTGATGTGTCGCTGCTCATCAAGCTGAGCAAAGAGATACAGGTAGTCTAAGACCACCTGGTGGATATGCCGCACCACGCCACACCAAGACCCACCCAACGGCTGAATTCTGTCACTGTTAGGAGTTTCATCTGCTGCGGACACACCCGGAGCCCATCGCGCACGCAGTCGTCATGCCACCAGCCTACAAGAGTGTCCTCATCTTCTACTGTGACGGCAGCATCCAGCGCTTCGTCCTCACAGCCAGGAAGAAGTCACACGTCAGCATCATCGCAGGTCAGCACCGACGCCATTTCCTTTGCCTCTCTCTCTCTCTCAGTCCAGATGGGTGTATGTGTGTCTTAATATGCGTGCAGATGACACGAGCGATTCCGCCCAGCTGATAGCGGAGAGGGCCGCGGCAGGTCTGGTTGCTTTCAACTACCAGCGGATCATCCCCTCAGTGGTGCACGCCCTGCCCATCACTGACCAGCTCAGACTGAGACTCATGGAAGACAACGCCGCGTGAGAGACAGACAGACGGAGAGAGACACAGGGGCTCGGTGAATGGATGTGGGTGTGTGTCGGCGTGTGGATGCAGTTTGATAAAGAAGCATCGGCTGCTGCTGTATGCCGACGAAATGAGGAAGAAGCGCGTGCCTCCAGGGGCAAAATTCACGCCAAACTCTGAGCTGGAGCCATACATAAAGACCAATGTAGGTAAAGAAGCGGACGCGAGGAGCTCTGAAATCTCTGGAATGGCATTGCTCTCTGATTTTGCCGGTTCGTCCGTTCAGTATTACAGCAACTACTTCCTGCCCACTGCGCACCTGCTTACCCTCACCCACACGCCCATCAAGGTATTGCACGCCGCCCCCCTCAGCAACACCCAGGACAATCCCCCTCTACTGCTCGTCATCGACTCCCGCGCTGCCGTGCTGGACATCAATGCTGTTAGCTACAAGGCGAACGACAGGAGCCCCCGAAGCCCTACCAAACTGCGATTGCGCCTGACCGCCGAGAGCCTCGCAGACGATCCGTCGGCAGAAAGGGGTGCCGAAGGGCAGGGGGAGAGGTACCATGTGGTGCCGTGTGTGCGGGTTCTGTGGGTGGGCAGCACCGACGTCAAGGTGGACAGACAGAGGGAGCTGCGGCTGCTGCGGTTCCGCTCAACCGACATGTCTGAGACAGAGGTGCCGGACATCGACGACCTCCTGCCACAGAAGACGTCACCCTCAGCGAGCCGCCCGGCCTCCCCATTGTTTGTGGACGGCTCGGGTGATCGGCAGCCGCCTGACGTGCTGAGAGGGGCCTTCATCGTTCCTGACGAGATGGCGCTAATGGTGGTGGGTGAGAGGCAGGTGCTGTGGTACAGCCTCGCCGCCAACGCAGAGAAGACGACGCAACTGAGGGGCCTGCCCCCGAGGGGAGACGCGCAGATCTGCCCTGTGCCGACGTGAGTGAGTGATGGCACGCAACACAACACACGGGCCCTTCATGTGTTGGCTGCATGACATGAATGTGATGTGACGTGTTGGATGCAAACAATGCAGGCGGCGTGTACCGTTGCCGAAGGGCCGCGATCACGCGGGCTGCACGTGGTCGGCCAAGACGTCACACCTGGCCCTCCTCAATGAGGACGGTGCGAGCGGGCCGGGCCCAACACAGTCAGATGGAGAAACACCCAGCCAGTCGTTCTTTCACCTCCCTGTCTGTCCACCTGCAGGTAGCGTCATCGTTCTTTCCAGCAAGACGGGCGAGTTTCTGTTCTCGACCGACCCGCTGCCAGTCGCACATAATCCCGCCGGCAAGCCTCGCCCGTGGATGGCCCTGAGCCTCTCCTCTTTGCCCCTATTGGCTGTCGGGATGGGCCCCAGGGTCAAGTGCTACAAACTCAGCACCGCATGGGCAAAGGTAGGTGAGACGTAGACAGACGCAGGGAGAGGCAGGAGAGTGCCTGTGTCTCATACTGTGTCTGTGTGTGTGGTGGCCGTCTCAGCGTGAGAAAGAGGAGGCTGCTGGTGAAAGGGCCACGACAGCCAGGAGGGCCTCAACACTCAAGTAAGCAAATGAGTGCGAGGAAGGAAGGCATCTCTTCACATACATACACACACGAATGCGTCGCTGCTTGTCCTCTCTCCCCCTCGACCTGCAGGCAGGCCGTTCGCCGGATGGCCATCGTCAGCCAGCTGTCCATGAGGCGCAAGTCCACCCGCCTCCCCGACAGCACTGCCCCCCTCGGCACCCAACTCGACCCCTTCATCAACACCACCCTCCCCTCCCGTCAAATCGACCAAGGCGAGCTCCTCCACACCACCCTCCGCTCCCGGCCGAGCGTCTTCGTGCGCGCCTCATCCGGGCGGCTGTACATCATCCCCACCTTCCAGCATGGCCAGCGGAGCCATAGAAGGGGCGAAGGCGGCAGCAAGGGCAGCAAGGGCAGCAAGGGCAGCAGGGGGACGTCTGTGGCCGGGAGCGTGTCCACCGCCGACAACTTGTCGACCATCACTGTGTCGTCCTCCCGGCTGGAGAGCCTCTTCTCGCAGATGGAAGAGTACCTGACGGCGGAGAGCCATGGCTACGGTGCTGGTGGGAAAGGAGAGGAGTCCAGCCCGACTGCTATGGCCTATGTGGAGGCGGCGAGACACATGGAGGCCTGTGATGAGGCCGTCAATCAGGTTGTCAGGGAGTGCCGGTCAATGCCATGCGGTCTTGACGAAGGCAGTGTGTCCTTCACGGGGCTCTGTGACTACGCCGGCAAGCTGAGCCGTTTGCTGGCGTCTTCCCGGGCGATTGAGGGCCAGCATCCGCCCTACTTCATCCACGGCTTCCACAGGCACTTGGAGAAACAACGGTCGCTCATACAGAGGGAGGTCACCGCCAGGTGGAGCCACCCGTCCGTGGCATCCATGTGGTGCGAGGCCTTTCCCCCTTTCCCCTCGCTCACACGTGCCCACCCCCAGATGCAGAAAGGCCATCTCACAAACGTCAGCTTGCTGCAGTCGATGCGTGCGCCGAGACTCTGTTCCCTGGCTGTGGACAGGGAGGGACTCTTCCTGCTGGTGGGATATGTTGGCGGGCGTATGGACATCTGGAGGCGGGGCGAGGGGGATGACGACCCATTTCTGCTCAACAAGTCGGTCAAAGCTCACGAAGGCGGCCAGAATGGGGAGGAGGTGCTCCTGCTGGTGGTCTGTGCGACCAACGCATTGATCGCTGCGTCGGCCTGGCGGACATTGAAGGTGTGGGACGTGCGTGACGGGCAGCGGTTGACGGAGCTTTTCTGGATGTCGCGGGAACACCCTCTCTCGACCATCCCCCCCGCGACAGCCATCCGCATCTCCTCCGAGGCCACCACCCTCCTCGTCCACACCCCCCACTCTCTCTACGTGTTTGTGCACTCCACTCTCACGGCCACCATCCCCAGCAAGTCGGTCAACTCTCTGATCTCACAGTCGCTGCTGAGCCAGCAGAGGGTGTTCACAGAGAGAGTAACTTTCCAAGACAGCGATTTGAGCGGTGACGGGCGGTTCGCGGCCTTCGTGCTGTCAAATGGGATTGTCGGGGTGGCAAGGGTGACCCGCAAGGCGGAGAGGCGACCGATGCCCATCACCTCGAGCGTGACAACGCTGCCCGAGATGGGAGTGGAGCGGCTGGCCTACCTCCCGCCCTCAATGCTGTGCCCCTCTGGCCCACCAGCCGACGTCCACTCTGCCATCTTCTGCAACCTGACGCTGATGGTCCACAGCGGAGACACGCTATCGTTCTGGACTCTGCGCAAGAAGAGGCGACTGAGGCGGAAGAGGGTGACGCTCATGCCGTCGAGGATACAGACGCGTGGCGCCCTCCTTGCCCCCCCCGCTCGGTCCACCACCATGACGCCGTCCTCCTCTCAGCTGCTGTCGCGGCAGAGCAGTGTCAGCGGCGAAAGCGTGTCTGCGTCTGTGTCCGTATCGAGGGGCCCCTCCACGTCACAATCAGGGCTTCTCTCGCAATCCGTCACGGTGATGGAGAGAGAGAGAGAAGCCACCGGTCCGTCGATTTTCGCTATCGACGTCGTGGCGGCCCCGCCTGTCAAGATGCCGCACACGGGAGCGAACGGGTGGGTGACATACACCCCGCGGCAGCACGCCTTGCTGGTGCACGACGGCGACAACATGACCATCTCGCTCTACCCCCTCCCCCCGGCCACCTTCCAGACCGCCGCCATGCGTCAAGCCAGGGGCAAGGACAAAGAAAGAGGAGACGTGTCTCTGGCCACGTTCGCCCCTTTCACGCCCAAGACCTCTCCGCGTATTTGGCGATTCCGAGGCCCCCCGCAGTCGCCACAGAAGGACAAAGACGTCTCGGCAGCAGGAGCAGCAGGCAGGGTGATGAAAAGCTGCCTGACTTTGCTGCGACCGAAGTGCGAGTGCGGTGCCAAAGGAATGATGCTGCCTGACGGGGGTCGGCTTGTGTGGGTGGAGGCAGGGGAGTTGAGGGTAGTGAAGCTGGAGTGGGACTGCGGGAGGCTGGTGGCGTCGGTGGCGACGTTTCTGCAGGCGGAGAGGGACAAGCACGACAGTCTGGAATCTCAGTCGCGGACGGACTTGATCGTCGGCTCACGACGCCTCTCTGTCATGCAAGGAGCCAGGATAGCAGGTACTGTACTGTCACTTTCTTTCTGGCACCTTCCATCCACTTTTTTGCTGCTGTCGTGTCATTCATGTCTCTCTGTGCGTGGTCAGGTGCCCCGTCGCCGGTCCCTTCTCTGGTCCACCCCTCCGTCAGAACCTCCTCCCCCCACACCGACTCCGTCCCACTCACACCCCTACTCTTCTCGCCAGTATCCTTAGCCATGACCTCGCCCACACCAGCACCAGCACCCGCACCACAGTACGCTCTCAGCTACCGCGCTGCGTCGGTATCGCCCCCGGCCACGGCCACACCACACACACCCGCTGCAGCAGCCACAGCCGCTGCGACGGTGCATCGAAGGGTCCTGAGCGCTATGCCTTGTCGGAGCTCACGGCTGTTGTCGGCGAGGGAGAAAGCAGCGGGGACGCGCTTCGTCACGGATTTCGACTTTGAGCCGCTGCCGGGGGGCGGCAAGGCGACTCCTGTGTGCCAAGAGAGGGTGAAAACGCCTGAGACGACAGCCGCCACAGTCGCCATGTCGCCAGAGGCCGTCCGGCTGACGACGCCCAAGACGGCCTCACCAGCCATGGACAAGGCAGAGACGAGGAAAACACCCGTCGTCCCAGCCACCCCCAAGACACCCAGAAGCGAGATGATCGCTTTGGAGCCCCCCCTGCTGCTGCAGGCCCCTGCCTCCTCAACATCAACACGCCCGCAGTCACGAGCTAAAGGGAGAATCCACAAACGCACCCGACCCAAGACGTCTCATGGATTTCTCCGTGACACACTGCCGCATAGGCGCGACGCTGAGACACGCACTAAAGGAGGGGAGGACACTGAATCTGCGCGAGTGCGTGTGGTCATTGCGGGAGATGCAGCAGACACGGAACACACAAGGCGGCATATGGTGGTGCACGAGATGGCGAGAGGGAGAGGGAGAGGGGTTGGTGCGGGGGGCGAGTTGGGGGACTTGTCTGGTGTGTTGGAGGCGCGAGGCATTGCTGATGAGAGCGAAGAGAGTGGTGGGAGAGATAGAGAAGTAGGTGGTAAGGGTGTGTTTGTCGTGATGCGTTCGAGTGTGGGCACTTCTACGGCTGGTAGGTCGTACTGTGTGCACCTGCCCAGCAAGGGCAGCGCATACGTCGCCGAGAGGATCTCTTGAACGAACGAGTACGATGGATGGATGGATGGATTGGTATTGGTGTTGGTATAAAAGGCACGTTGATTGAGATGGCGGCACCATGTCACGCATCAGACAAAGGCAGTCAAGTCATGCAGTCAGCCATAAGGTCTCAACCAACATGAGTGAGCATGATCGAAGCCACGGGCAGCTTAGCTATAGGGAAAGCCGCTCCTCCCTCCATCCCTCCCTCCCAGGGGAACGCAGCCGGCACACACAGCGAGATGAATCGATGAATCGATGTCAAAATGCAGCAAAGATCCTACACACTCACTCACTCACTCACCGCATGCAGACCACCACTAGCGAGACTGACACACAATCTGATGCATAATAGACGTCAATCAAGAAATGGACCCACCCCCGCACTCGACGCGCGCACGCACACACACACCCATGTCGCCCCCGCCCGGCTGCGTAAGCACTCACGCACACAAACACACACACAAACACAGACGCTGCGCAACTCGTGTGTGGGAGGTGAGAGAGAGAGAGTACTCTACAGCAGCTATCCATCCATCCATCCATCAGCAGCGAGCAGTGAGGGGTCCCTCTGGGCCATCCATCACGGGCATTCATTGTATATGTGTGTATGTGTATGTGTGTGTCGTGTATGTATGTTGCACCCGACCCCCCCAACTCCCACCACCAACCCTGACACGGAGCAATCTCATGGCATTAATTGCCGCAGCACGTGACTCACGTGCATCATAATGTTTGACTAGCCAGCCAGCCAGCCATTCTTTCATTCATTGACTGGTATGGTATTGACACGCAGACTTGAAGAGGGAGGGAGGGGGCTAGCCAATACCGTGGAGAAGGGGTGGGTGGGGGAGGCGTCAAAACTGGGTGAGTCGATCGACATCCCCTTGGCGGGGCCCACAGGTAGCACGGACACACGCATACCTGTGGGCTGGGCCCCCCACAGGTGAGGTGTCCTGCCCACCACACAGAGACACACGCACGCACACTGCCTGCAGCAACCCAACCACACCCAACCACACGGCTCACTTAGCAAAACCAGCACATAGCGTACACATGGCATGAAGGGGAGGGAGGTGTGTGTAGCCATGTGTGTATGTGTGTCGTATTCACAAAAGCCCCACCCCCTCACCGACCCGTCCCTCTCAGCGTTAGTAATCGTAACCGAATCCCTCCCATCTATGGGTCGCCGGTATGTGGGAAGTCCAGCCGTCGCCACAAGACGATGTTGCCGAGCGAGTCGGCCGATGCGATCAGCGTGTCGAGCGCGTTCACCGCCACTGCCAACACCGGCGCCTGGATGACCGACCGGCAGACAGACAGAGAGCAACAGACACATGGCGTTGATTGCGTGTGTGGGGGTGAGGAGGCTGTGTGTACTGTACGTTGTGGTGCTTGAGGTAGTGCATCTTGTAGTTGGCGGACTTCGCCAGGGAATATATGTATATCTGCAGACAGACACCACATACAAACCAAGCACATACACACACACGGAGGTCCCAGAGGTCTTGACGGATGGACAAATGAAGTCTATGTGATCTTATAGTCTGACTGACCTCCTTGTCCTCCGAGGCCGAAATGAGGAACCCCCCTCCATACGCAGAGAAGCAGTTGCGCAGCGGCAACAACGAATGCGCCACCTGCAGACGACAGACAAGTGTGCCAGTGACAAACACACACCCATACACCCACACACACACCCCCACACACACATCCACGTCTGTGTGTTCGGGGGAGAGGAGAGGGAGCGGGGGTGTAAAACGCACCTTGACCCGTTGCCTGACGGCCAGGTTAGTGAGGACGCCCTGAGGCGGTCCGTAGATGCAGTCGATGATCGTTATGTGCGAGTCGCAGCTGTTGACCAGCAGACAGGGGTTGCTGTCGGGGCTGTTCGAGCCCACAAAGGTAATCCAAGTCACCGCACCCTACCACCCACACACACATCCATTGGTGGCTGGGAGGGGAGGGGTGGTGTGGTAAGGCTGGCCTGCCTACGCGCGAGAGGTGGTTCTTGAATTTGAACTTGAGCGTGTTGGAGTCGGAGGCCTCCAGCACGTGGATGGCGCCGTTCTTGGTGCCCGCCAGGCAGAACAGCCCGGTGTCGTCAAACTTCAACGCTCGCACCTCCGACTCGACCTGACAACACAGCACCCACCCAACCACACACACGCACACACAGACCACCACCATGCGGAGGGAGGAGGGAGGGAGGGAGGGGGTGATGTTGCCTGCCTGTCTGCCTGTCTGTCTGTCTGTCTGTGTGCTCGAGTGGCTGGCTTCTTACCTTGAGCTTCTGCACGACGATCCCATTCTGGACGTTGACGAGCCTCAGGACGGCGTTGGCGTTGGCGGCGACGAACACCGAGGGGTTGAAGGGGAGGAAGGCCGCCACGAGGGCCGGGCTGCTATCGGTGAACACCTTCAACATCTCACCTGCACCCACATCGCACCATTGCACCATTGCATTGGCAGTGTGTGGGGGAGAGGGGGGGAGAGTTTAGGGGGTGGTGCCGTGGCGACCTGTGTCGACGTTCCAGAATCTGACTGATTTGTCGATGGACGTGGTGACGACCTGGTCCTCCAGAAGGTTGAAGAACAAAGAAGTCACCGCCCGCTGATGACCAGTCTGTCCATTCAACACACATACACACACACATGTTCCCGAGATGGGATGGATGTGTGTGAGGAGGGAGGGTCCTGGTGAAGGTGAAGGTGAAGATGCACGGCGACCGACCGACCATTCTGGAGTGTATGGCGATGTTGGAGTGTTCCTGCGGCACCGGCTGGGCCTCGTTGGTGCGGAAATCAACATCCTTCAAGATGGACAGCTCCATCTCAGTCCGATAACACCTGCACACCCCCGCACCAACTCACCCACAACTCCCCCCCACCCCCCGTGTGCGTACCTGTACACGGTGACCGATCCGTCTTTCGCGCCGGTGGCGAGCAGCACATATCCCCTGTGGTGCCTTTCCTGGCCGAAGGACAGGCAGGTGACGGCGCTCTCGGTCTCCTGCAGCTCCTGCACTGGACGGATGTCAGCCCAGGCCGTGTCGGTGCGCCGGTCGGCCGCTCGCATGCCCTCGGTGCCCTTGAGCGAACTCTGCAGCAGCTGCAACACACACACGCACAGGGGAGAGTTGAACGAACACGGGTGGCGTGGGAGGGGTGGCCAGGCCAACCTGGTTCTGCTGCTGTTTAGGTTTGGCCGGTCCGACGAACCAGTTGCGCATGCCCGTCATCAGGGAGGACAGCGCGGCCTTGCTCAACGTCTACATCACACACACACACACATACACAACACAGGTACACACCAGACAGACGTCGATGAGTGAGTGTCGTCATGATCACCCACTGACCCCGTCAGCAGGTGCGTTGGCGTCGGCGAAGCTGCCGCTGGGCGGCATTGCCCGTGGCTGGAGGTGTGGGAATATGGCCCTCACGACTTCCTCCAGGTTGTCGGTCTCCATGCTGTAGCCGCCCTCACGCGCTGCCGTGTCCTTGGCCGCCTCTATGTTCACCTGAGGACAGAATGAATGAACGGACGGACGATAGATGAACGTGTGTGTGTGTGTGTGTGTATTTGTGTGTTCAGGGGCTCGGGGGGTGCTTGCCTTTGCGTCTTTTCCTTTGTTGATTTCGTACTCGTTGCCCAGGAGCATCACCTCCGCACCCACGCCACGCAGCTAAAGGATGACAGACAGACAGACAGACAGACAGAGAGACAGACAGACAGAGAGACAGACAGACAGAGAGACAGACAGACAGACAGAGAGACAGAGAGACAGACAGAAAGACAGACAGACAGACAGAGAGACGGACGGACCATCCATCCATCCATCCATCCATTTGGCGGCCCCGAGAGGCGTATACGTCAGTCACGTACCTCTTTGATGTAGTGCACACAGTGCTCATATGACGCCCGGTTGCTGAGGTCGTACACCACTATGCCGAACTTGGACCGCGCAAAGTGCTGCGTCGCCAGCTGCTGGTACTTCGGATCACCTACACACACATGAACGGACATCCCATCCGTCCACTGTGTCCTTAAAAACTGTATTGTATCTATGGCACCTCTCTCTCTCTCTCTCTCTCTCTCTGTCTCTCTCTCTCACCCGGTGCGTCCATCATCCTGAGAGGCGCGTTGTTGAAGTCGACGGCGTACTGCATGAAGGTCGTGTCGTGGCCCTCACGCTGCTGGTCCCGCGACAAACGCAACTTCTCGAGATTGGACGCCTGCCGATCCGCACCCAACTGACACACAAACACACACACACAGAGAGAGAGAGAGACAAACCACAGCACGATGGATGGATGGATGGATGGGCGCTGTGTGTGTGTGTGTGCGTGTTTGCCTTGAGGAAGAACCCCTCGAGCAGCGCCGTCTTTCCCACTTTAGGAGGACCGACCAATATAATGTCGATCGGCCGCGGCTCGTATGACCTACAACCACAAGCACACACATTGACTGCACCACAGCCCACCCACCACCTCTCTCTCCCTCTCCCTCTCTCTCCCACACAGGTGCGGTACCTGTGTGGCCGTGTCCTCTGTCCGCCAGCGGTGGTCTGCCGCATGGTCTGCGGAGCGGGCTGCGTGGCCATCATGCGCTGCTGGCCCGCCGCACCAGCACCAGCACCAGCACCAGCACCGGAGACGGGGCCGTTCAGGGCCGGCTGGCTGGCTCTGTTTGCGCCAGCGTGCTGCTCCATATGATGGGTGGACGACAGCACGGAGGACCGGAGTAGGTGGGCGTAGCGGCTCTCAGACTGACACAGACAGACAGACAGCGTGGTGGAGGGTGGTTGGCTAGGGACAAGTGTGGTGTGGTGTGGTTGGCTTGCCTCTTGTAGTTTTCGTTCCGCCGCGTCCTTCTCCTGTTTCATCTTCTCGAGCTGCTGCTTCAGGCTTTCGAACTCGCTGTCCTTGGCCTCCAGCTCACTCGCACGCTCAGCCCGACCCTGCTGCAGCGCGTCCGCACGGACACTCTCCAGCTGCACGCAACACCACCGCACAACCC